ACTCTGATTTACACTTCTATTCTGATTCAGCATGTAATTACAAGACTGTTGCTCAGTTCCACACAACAGCATGTCCACGGTGTTGATGGTGCCCCAGCAGCTCTCAGTGCTCTTTCACTGCCTGACATATGAGCCAAAATACAGAGCAAGCCCAGCGACATTTATCTGCTTCAGCACACACAGTCACAGCTCTCCTACAGCCCAGAGCCATGAAAGGGACAAAACTACCATAACGAGCTACAGGGTAAAAGCTGTGTGTGCATCTCAAAAGGCCAGTTGCACATCAAGAATGCACATAATCTAGTTATTTTCCTTTCAGAAACACAAATTACAGCCATGTCTTTACACTTTGATTCCACCAGCAGTGGAATATGTTCAGATCCTTTACAGAAGTAAAAGTAGAAACACCACAGCGTAGAATATGTCAAGCTCAACCAAGCAGAAGCTTTTACTGAAGTAAATGTGTATTAGCTACTAAATATATTCAAATATTGAAAACAGTAATAGTCAAGGATGTAATTTTGCATATGGGCAGTAGTGACATGTTCCTATCAATATCTGAGCATTATCTTTGTGGTGAAGTCATACCAGATCACTCCGACGTGCTCTCCCTGAGGCTATATCTACAAGACGACATGCTAGCATCTGACTGAAAGGGAGGGGGCGATCTGAAAATCACATTATGTGCAAATGTCATATTTGCTCCCAGACACGGAGGAGGCGGTAGCTGTCACTCAGTGTGCTGTCGGTCCAAACCTCGAGCACAGGCAAAGATTTAGTCTTCCAGATGACTCGTTCCCTTTCCTTTGTTGCCTGCACTCCACAGCACACATAGTACACTTTTGTCCTTAGGTAACATTATTTTACCAAAAAAGATAGAGAGCTTAAGTAACTAATAGGCTAGTTAACCAACTAGTAGCCACAGTGATTTAAAATGAAAACGTGCGAGCTATGTAGCGTCACCAGGCTTTACACTGTGGACAATGTCAGCCTTAGTTAACCACGTTAGCTAATGTCAAGCTAACCCTGTCTTCTGTTATCTACAGGCTACCAGGAGTAAACATAACTTGACATGTTACTGGGACACAAAAAAGAAGACCGACACATGGAAACACACAACCAAGATACGCATGTACTACAGCAGTACACAGCAGCACCGGATACGTCAGAAAACAACTGTCCTGTCAGAGCAGAGGACGTGTTCAACACAACACATCCTCAGAAGACCGGGCACAGCAAGCTACTGAATCTGCATGTGTGAACGAACTCTCAGAGGTTAAACACCTCGCTATTTACAAAAGTGTTGGACTAGCAAACTTTGAAACACATTGTGAGAACAAATATAATATTACATTAATATACAGAAACACTTTGACCTGCATATAAATACAATTTGAGGGACAATTTAGTAAGACACTTTTCTAACGTGATGGTTGAAGAATGGAAACAATGGGAATGGCACAGTCTAAGCTTGGAGGTACACAAGCACAAACTGTGTGGTATGGTTGTTTTGAGTTCAAATAGTTGAAAAGTGGTCTAAATAATTATGTTGTTGGAGTGTAACCATTCAACAGTGGAGACCTTTCAAAGCAAGCTGAGCAAAGCACTGAGGTGGCACTTTTCCACTGAGTGTAACTGCATGTTAACAGGCCCAAAACGCTTGATTCAGGGAGGACCTGCAGGATATCTGCACAGTGCGTTTACAAACCTAAGATGCTCACGCCATAGATTAAACCACAGCATCGGTTGTGTAACACAAAGAGATGCATTCCAAGCCTGGGAAGAGCAGCTGAAAACACAGCAGGCATGTCACCTGACACACTGATTCAGCTGTGCTTTAGAAATACTCCATGATGTGGAGACTTTATGAGCTCAGTCGTCGCAGCCCCTTCACATGCCGACTGGTGACGCAGACAGACTCAACACTGGAGAATGTCAGAAAGTGAAACCAATTCACTGTGAATAACACTTTTCTCTCTCTCAATATGCAGACTCTTGATCAACAACAATTTTAGTGTTTAATTCACTTACCCCACACACACTGATGTGCTGCATTAGGACAGCAGTGGGAAGATACATAACTAAGATCTGGGAAAACATTTTGAAACTTTATCAACTCAATATTCAAATAAATCAAAATTATTAAAAGATGAAATGATAATAATAAATGTTTATCACACGCCATCACAGTATAGGGCTGCAACAAATATTAGCCTATATTTTCATATTAAATTGTTGATTTTTTTTTTTCCCTGATTAATCAGTTCACCTTGTGGTTAGTTAAAAATCAGAAATAGTGAGAAAAATGATCTGGTCTCAGTTTCGCAGAGCCCAAGGTAAAATCTTCAAATTTCTTGTTTTGTCAGATCAACAGTTCAAAACTGAAGGATTTAATAAAAGAACAGAGAAAAGCAGCAAAACTTCACATTTAATGATCTGAAATTATGTTTTCTTTGGTATTTTTGCTTTAAAAGAATCACCTAAACACTTAATGAAAATATTTAATTGTGTTTTCTGCCAATGAGTAACTGACTAATTGTTTCAGCTCTAGTTCAGAAGAGGTCGGGAAGGTAAGAAAGACATCGACGGTGGCATTTCACTTTACATAACCAGCTTTAGGTTTAAAGTCTACCAGTCACTATGTGGAGGCATTTACTCTGGCAACACTGACCCTTTGGATTTAGTGAGTCAGGTATACTGATGTGACACCTGCAGTAACTGCTGTGGCACTTCCTGACACAGTTTGTCTCCTGGTTTCGATTGCGACCTGAAACACTCTAACCCTGCCGATCTTCAAATCTCTCCCTTAATCTCTTTCTGTCTTTAATTAGCGACCGACTGCAGCAGAATGGAATGTTGGATTTGTGTGAAGGTAGATGATAGAAAACAGCAGCAGCCATTGTAATATTTCTCTGTTTTGCAGTAGAATCATACCAGGACAACAATCAACTACTAACCTGGACTTTTCCAGGGTAGCCAAAAAAAAAAGTCTTCTCAGGCAGTTTTAACTTCACAGTCCAAGTGCTTAACTGTCCTGCTACTGAATAGTGTCAGAAACATCTGTAGTGAGATTTAATTATAGGAACAACTACAACACATGCAGCAACTCTCTAGAAAGCAAGACCTAGATGGTAATTATACTTCAGAGCTAAGTAGGGAGCCAGAGCGTTGACAGGTTAATTAAACACTCTGGCAAATTCTGGTAAACAAATGTGACTCAGGATCTAGAGACAGAAAGCAAGGCAGAAAAAAAGAGCTTACATAACAGGAGGACATGTACTGCATTCTCTCCTCTGCTTTCCTCCTGAGACATACACAGCATCACAGGGTGAGTTACTGTAGGCAAGCAGACCGCCGTGTATATTAACCTACATGTCGTACCACTGTGGAGTCTTGTTCTCTAATCTAGGACAAAACAGTAGCGGTATTAGGCTATATTACACAAACTAAACAATGTAAAAATAAACAACTGCTCATGTAATAATCATGTTAAAGATATAATACAAAACACAGAAAACTACCAAGTCCCTATAAAAACATCACTAAATACAAAATATATCCCCGAGAGATTCCCTACAGGAGTATCACATGCTTATTGTGACGATTTGGAGAAAGGATGTATTTAATGTTCATTTAGGTAGCACTGACATAACACAGGTTAATGCTGCAAACAGGACACCACCTAGTTATTGTTTACTGTTTAGGCCATTAGAGTAATCTGCATCCCCACCATACTGCACCAACCAGCATAAATCCACTAGTATACACTGGGAAGTACAGCCACATAGCCTTCAAAGTAAAAGCCTGGAAGCGTACAACAGAAAAAGGTTCTCGTAACATGTACAGAGCAATAGCAAAATCATTACACTGTTTGCAACCTAAAATACAGCAATGCCTTGATTATTAGTGAATTCAACTGAGTTATATGTGGTAACAGATATTTAACTGTCTCCCTTTTATGAGCTCTTCTTTCATTCTACATTGTTCTTGGTTTAAATTGTTTTCCATAGTTGTAGCTCAGTCTGTGGCTCCTTTCTATTACTTCTACCTTTAAAAACTACGTACTTATACTTTAAAGTAATGAACACAATAATGCATCAATAATTATAATCCATTAATATAATATAGGCTACAGTCATGTGAATTGTCCCATTTTGCATGACTACTTCTTTTGGTACTTTAAGCATATTTTGATGCCAGTACTTTTACATAAGTAACATTCTGATTGCAGTAATAATGTATTTTATCACTGTAGTATTGCTACTTTTATTTAAGTAAATAATCTGAGCACTTCTTTCACCATTACTAATAATAAATAACCATCTTTTTTGCTTCAGCTAAGATAAATTGTGCTAAGATAGCTAGATAGATACTTTATTACAGACTCAAGGTCCAGATGTACAGTAAAATTCCTAAACTCAGCCAAGCTTTTATTTTGTACATTTCCAGCGGAAGTCACGTGTCTTCATTGTGTCAAACTTAACACTGGTTGTACCGCTGTTGTTTCTGGGAATATGGGATCAATATGGTGATAACACAGGCCGCTGATGTGGCACTGTTGAACCACTTCTGTTCCTAATAAACGAATAGTGTCTGTATGTTATGGTCTAATCTTGTATTTTAATCCAGTCAATTTTGCCGTCAGACAGAATAAACAAGGAAACAACGATGTGTCAAACCGTTACCAGACGCTTCCCTGCCTTTGTGTCACTGCTATAAAATCACAACGCCACCACCCGAGCTAGCATCTTCTATCTTGCTAAATGTCGTCTCTGACTTAAACCTACAAAATAACCGTCTGTTTAATCGCGACAAGGCGGTTAGATGCGGGAATTATCTGCTAAAAGCCGAGGCTTTCCCCGTGTGACCGACCGAGCCATTATTTTTTCAGCCTCCGACGCGATGCTGCTGGACGGACCGTTTTCTCCGTTTCCTTCGTCTGGTCTCGTCCAAGTCTGACCGTTAGCATCACCGCTAAAATGAAATATTAACACACTCACCTTGCCGCAGGTTGTCGGCGGGGCGTCTGTTTTCGATACAAATAATGTATTTAAGGGTAACTGAGCTGGTGGGCTGCTAGTCCTTGGCGTGTGGGAATAACGTTTCCGCTGCGAGAGGCGGCGGCGGTGCGGCGCAGGCGGGGCCGAGCCTGGGCCGGAGCTGCGCGTCAGCCTGAGGTCACAGCTTGGTCCTAGCCCGGGTTGGTAACCTGCTGGTATCTAACCTGGGTGGCTGACACGCAAAGTTCACATGAGAACAACGACAGCCAGGAGTGGAAGAGCTGTTGTTGTTATTTCTGTTATATTATAAACCTGGCTAGGGTTATATAAACCTTATTTAACATTACAACTCTGTTTTCAGAAAGTTGGGACACACTGTACATTGTAAATAAAACTGAATAAAATGTACTGAAAACCCCTTTAACCACAAATCCATTTGTAGCAGTAAAAGCTGTATGTTTTGATCTGGGTTCCCTTCTGACATTATTATGAGAGCTTTCTAAAATTGCAGACTCTACTAAGCAAACCAAACATTATTTTCTTCCCTTATGGCAGTTCAGGGAGACATGGGCTGGGTAGCAAGATATATACTAGTGTGAAATGATCCAACTGAGGAACTGTCTAAATGACACAGGATGGAATGAATAAGGATTTGTTTATGTGGAGTAAATTGCTTGGTTCTCTATAAGCACAAGAGCCTTATACAACCAAGGATTTGTGGTTATATGGTATGCATGTGAGTATAAATTGTCTTGACAGGAGCAAATATGAACTCCCAGAAAGTCTGCAATTTTAGATTATTTTATACCCACCCACAGGATTTAGCTGTTTCCAAAGATTTGTTCTTATGCAGGCAAATAATCTCTGGGTTCTGGGGATGTAACTGCAAACACCACGAACAATCTGGTACCTTGACTCTTAAGATTTAGAAGCAAATAAGTCTGTGTTCACCTCTGAGGATTGTAGTAGTTAAAACTTGGAAATGTATTCTGTTTTACCTATAACCCTGGTACAGTACAAGCTAAAAAAAAACCTTTTGGCTGAGTGAACATCTCTGGATTGCACAGGAGTTTCAATTTTATGGCTCACACACACTATGTACAGTACCTTGTGTTGGTGCCAAATCACATTTCAGGTGTTTATAGCTCCCCCACAGGACTAAGCACTGAGCCTGCCTCCACCCTCTTGAACTCTCTTCCAATGGACAATAAACACTGTGCCATATCCCCAGCTTAAAAAAACATTGCCTGTTTATTTATTGTCCTGGTTTTCACTCATAAAATATAATATACTCTGCTAAAATCTGGCACAACAGTCAGGCCAGCCAACAGCTGCCCTGCTGAAGTGCCCCTGAGCATCACAGCTCACTTTTTATTAGTCCACAGGCTGCTGTTATGCAGATTAGTTATTTCTTTAGGTCAAATGAAGCAGAATTTCCTGCTCCTCCAGATAAATATAGTCACCATAATTACTTTAAACTGGTCTCCATTGGGGTGCACTGACTCTATTCCAAGTAAGGGCAATAAAAGGTGTAGGGGATGTTTGTACTTCCAAATGCAGCTTGAATCATTGTCTTTTTAATACAAAGTAACAATGATATTTATGCTGGATCATAAATGAGTGTAATTTCATATTTAAATATTCCTTTTGGACCTGTGCAGGCTGTACACTGCCTCTTGCCCAGTATTGGCTGGGATTGACTCCAGTCCCCCATGACCCTCTACAGGATAAGCAGTAAACATAATGGATGGATGGAAAGATGCCTTTTGTCCCTTGTATAGGCTGCGCCATCTACTGGCTACCTACTGTTACTGCATTTATCAAAGCGCATATTCTGTCCAAGGTTACTGCAGTAAAGCATGCTAGATGCATAACAGAAGCCTCCCTTTGACAATACCCCCAAATGATTGTGTTTTTTGTGAATTAAAGGGCTGCATATTCTAAAAAGTCACCAGTCGGCCAAAAAAGGCATTAAACACACCATGTTTAGGCACAAAGGAAAAACTATTTACATCTTCAAACTTTGCACTTTGCAAACAAATCTGATGTAATCTGAATCACCTACTAAAAGTGGATGTAAACTTAGTATAACATTAAGAATCTGCTGTTGAACTCTGTCAACCCCCAACCCCACTTTAGTAAAGTGAAAATACATAAAAACTACTGTCAGTAAACCACTTGCTGTTAAAAACAAGAAACAATGAATGTAGTGTAAAGTTGTGGTTTATTTTCGTGATAAAGATTCATAAGATGATGGCCACAATCAACCCTTCATTTAAAAATAAACTGGCAAAATACTGCAGTGCAAATTGGAGGAAGCCTGTTCTGAACTGCAGTGTATAATCAAGCCCCATTAATTCCACCTGTTTCCAATCAATCACCAGAGCTGTGGCTGCCTATCAGAATCATATAAATGACTTGCACTGGAACCACTCTACCACTGCACTGCTGAGGAAAAGGAACGGAGTTGTCATTGTATTGGGCTGCTGAAGACAGACCAAGGTGTTTCATCTTACAGTTGGTCTTATCTGGCTGAGGCCATGGGGTTCCTCTTAAGGTAATAGACCGGTCTTTTCTGTGGCTTAGCAGTTTATTTGAAACAATGCAGAGTGCTGTGTTAAGCATGGTTTCCTTTTCTAGGATGGTGATTCTGTGGATGCTGTTTGTTGGAGTACTTCAAGCAAGCATTAAATGTAAGACCTATATATTATAAAGTGCTAGCTTTTTGAAATGCCTGTGTATTTATAAAGTTACTCTTAAAATACCAAAAGTTAAATGTGAACATTTCAGTCAAAAGGCATGTACACTTAAACAAAGATGCAATAGATCTTGGAAAGCAATGTTAAAACTTCTGAGATATCTTGTATGCTTGTCTCCATATTGTGTTTAACTTTAGCTTATCATGGCACTGAAGATGGCTTTAAAAATCCTCATGCCACTAAGCTTGCTTCACGTTACCAGTCCCGTCCTGAGGCCCTTCGCTACCAAATCCATCAGTCTTGGCCCAAAGTACGCAGATTCCAGCTTAAGTCTTTGCCCCACGGGCGCAGCTACCAGCCAAAACCACTTCCTACTTCCTTTGAGCCGAGGTCCCGGGTACTTTACAATCAGATCAAGCCTCAGGTGCCAAGTTACCCATACCAGCCTCAAATATCTGGCTACCTTCCACTAGTGCCCCACTATACATACTTCCCTTTGGTGCGCAATTACATGTACCAGCCTCAGGTGCCTCTCTCAAAATCCCACCACCAGGTGCCAAGCTACCTGCCCCACCACCGGGTGCCTGCCCACCTGCCCATGCCCCAGCACCAGGTGCCCAGCCACCTGCCCATGTACCAGCCCCAGGTGCCTCTCTCCAAGCCTGAGCCCCAGGTGCCCAGCCACCTGCCCCAACACCAGGTACCTGGCTATTTGCCCATGTACCAGCCCCAGGTGCCTCTCTCCG